GGGGATTTGTTTTATACGATGCTCATTATGAAGAATGCAACAAAGCACCTTCACAGTAATATGGAGCCCCGTTTTTTATTGTATAATAATATTTTTTTCTGAAAAAAAACCAATAAATTGTTAAATCTAACATCATTCGATAAATTTGCTAAATATTATATTAAGCTACTTAAATTAATCATAATAAAGCATCGCTATAAATGCTCAGTACAACATTATAACATCACTACATAATACTTTATAACTTTATAGCATCACTCTATAAATGATTAGTGTAGCATTATAACTCTACTCCATAAATGCTCTGTACATGTATAGCATAACTACTGTATACAGGGTTATTTTCCCCCCGTCTTATTTTCGCCCTTTTACTCTTGCAAACAATTCTCCCCATTTAAATTTCTAATTTAAATTCACTTAGTCCTAGTTTTGCTTAAGAAATTATACTGACTATTCTTTGAATTCGCCCCGTTTTAGATTAGCCTAAATGAGGGTAGGGCGAAATAGGGCAAAATAAAACGGGGGCGAAAATTTCCCTGTATACAGTATCAATTAATAGCTTGAATTTTTAATTTCAACTAGGGTATGCCCTTGCGATATTGAAATTTGTTCATGACCTACATTCAGTACACGAACTATGCATTCATCACGTGACTGTCCATCGATGGGACCAAACTTCATACAGTACAGAGTGGGTTATACTATGCTATTTCCATAAGTATTTGAGTTCTGTGATAATAAAACAGCTTAATTAAAATAAATTCAGTTTTAAAAAGATCCCCCTTTTTGCACGTCTATTTTCCGTTGATTTCTCATAGTAGGCCTTAACAGTGCTGCGCTCTGTGAAGACAATGAACTGAAACTGCAAATTATTGGAATTTTTCTAAGTCCAAGGGGCTTCACTTTGTCCAAAATGATTCGATCAAACCCAAAATAGAACCTAGATATTCTTATTATAAGTATGTACAGCAAATTTCATTTGCTAACAACAACATACGTTTTCTTTTATTAACTTTTAACAACTGTTCAGAATAGCAATATTAAAGTACTAAGAGTACATATTTAATTTAAGGACACTGGCAAGGTTCCTGGCTTTTGTATAGATTTTTTCAAGAACTCTTGAACAGGTGTAGTGGTACTAAACATGTTATATTCTGGTACATTTAACCCACCAAGCCATTCTTCCTTATTGGATTTTGTCAAATGAATGTTTTTGCAATTCTCAATGCATTTCCTATGTAAAATGTTGATAAAAAGGACTTGCTTAATTTTTTACCATAAAAAATTTCCAAAATTCAGTCATTTCAGAAAGTATATATATTATGTATATCATTGTATCCTCAGTTCCAATGAAATCTAGATATCATGACTGAAAACGCAAATTTAGAAACATGACACAGATCTACCAACACTGTTCATTATTTCAGAGTTACTTCCCTTAGCATCTAATTCGTATTCATAATGGTAATGACTGGTTGACTGTTTACCATATTGGAAACAAATTTTCATAAAAATATTGGCATATATTTGTTTTTATATTTGTTTACAGTTACTACATGTAAATGATGCCTCCTTCGCACGACCTCATTCAGTTACAGGTTTTCGGCATTTGCCATATCTTGTGATTGTCCTTCCCAGCATGAGTACGGTAAATAACGGTCTGTTGACCACTGTTTACGGTCTGTCCTTGAACACAATGTACAACAAAACAATCACCGTTTTTCTCTCTTGCTGTAGAGATGATTCTACCCATTGAAGGAAGCACATGTGCTTTTGTTTACCTCTGTAAAAGACGCTTTGTTGGTTTTCATTTCATAGAGAATATTCTACACGGGGGATCACTCTCAATCACAGTTTTATAAGTGAATAAACCTATGATATAAACCTTTTTTCTCCGGATTACTGTGACTTGCCAATGTCCTTAAAGTAAGAGATTCATCTTTCTACTGAACAACTAACATGAAAGGAAGAGATTGCTTGAAAAAAATTGCCTGCTGCATTGAATTTGATTTTTTTGCCTGAAAATCACAAGAACGTTTTTTCCTTCTCTACAAGAGGTCAAATAAGTAGAGGTGCAATGATACGATTACCCCACGATATGATACGTATCACGATACATGACATATTGGGTTAAAAAGTCAGACATTTGTCATCATATACTCTAAACTTAAAAGTTTTATCAAATGCCCACTAAACTAACCCTAGGAAAGTTATGACATCCTTCGACCCGTTAAATATGAGGTTGGAAACAAGCTTAAATTGTCGTTTCTGCAGTTTCATTGACCTCATGTTTCATGCGGAAGCCATTTTGAAATTGTAGAGGAGGAACCAAAACGTACGATTCGGATAATTACAGACCGATTGAACCGAACAGTGATATCAGTTTCATGTATTGTGAATTGAACCGTGGAAAAATAAACCGCGGTATACCGTGAAACAGTTTATCGTTGCACTCTTACAAATATTAAAGTATGTTTGGAACCAAAATAAGGACATTTACTGCATAACATGTGTGAAATACATACATGATTATATACATTTACATGTATTACGATAAATGTTTTCAACAATGGCGAAACTTTTCCTTCAAAGAAAAAATCACCCTTTTATAACTTTCAACATTTTTTTCACTGCCTAGAAATACTATCTCATATTAAAATATTCAATATTGATTTAGGATTACAAACCTTTCCATACGCCTCTCCTGCAACAACTATTGCTCCAGTTTTCAAGATACCTCGCTGTACCAGAATTGTTGCAACTTTTCTGTGTAAAAAATGAAAGCAGTTAAAAGCAACCATTATCACAAAGAGGTACAATTTTAAATGGAAAATTATGCCACTTCACAGAATTATTTTTTTTATAAACAAGTACTTACTGTATTCTGGCTCCAGGGCCATAAAACTTAGACGAGCTCACTTTTGATCTCAGTCTTACTTTTTCCAATGGAATTAATAGTGGAAAAGTGAGACCGAAATCAAAAGTGAGCTTGTCTGAGTTTTATGGCCCGGAGCCTGGGATCTTCAATAAATATTAAAATTTTATATTTTTCATTATAAAAAAATTAAACTACTTCTCAGACATACCCTGTCTTGGGGTTGAGCTTAGATTCCAGGATGTGGCCCTCTACCAGACCTTTGGTGTCACATTTCAGGTCCAGTAACTCTGCCTGGACTGCTATGGTCTCTTGTAACTCAGTGATGTTCTCCCCCTGAAAAAAATTACAAGAGTATTTCATATTCAGTTCAAAAATGAATAATAGACTAGCATATCATAAAGGGTGCCATATTAAAAGATTAATGCTGGATTAAAAACTATTCAATTAAAGGAAGTTTTTTTTTCTAAGGGGGTGGGTACTTCAAAAGCTCCAAATGTTTTGGTGGTCTGATAATACATGCACATATATAATTATTACACAAAAAGTGTCTACAGTGCCCTATCAGCAAAACCTTGGGCATCTACATGTATATTCCTTCCGCTAACAAATGTTGTATCAACTGTTCTACCGGGTAGTGTGCTAAAGTACCGACCAGACCCAACCTGACACCAAAGCAGTCCCAGAAAGCAGTCCCCACAACTGCTTTGGGACCGCCCTGGGACTGCTCTGGGACCGCTGTGGGACTGCTCTGAAAAGCAGTCCCAGCAGTCCCAGCTGTCCCTGGGACTGCTTTCTGGGACTGCTTTGTTCACTCATGTGTGAAGAAGGTTATAAGTGACATGATAGCTCCGCCCCTTTGTGTATTCTGAATTTGTACTGGCTCCTTGTTGTTTTGTTTACTTGTAGCACAGTAAATTATAGATGAGTTTAAACTGTTTAGAAAGCAAGGATTTCTTACATTCATTTGATAAGTACATGTAGAGATTATTATAGATAATTAATATTTTCAGGGACTGTATACTTACACAAATTTATAGTTTAGAATAAAATATAAAGTTGTTAAATAAGGAAGTCATCAAGAAAAATTTTTATCCCTAAAAATAAACTACAGGTTTATGAGAAAAAAATATCTACATGTCAAAAAAAAAAAATTATTTAATGTAAAATTCTTTTACTCAAAATTTGCATTGGTACCATTTAAAAATAATCATTACGGATAGATATAAGATTGTTTTCATTGAGAAAGCTACACATTTTACAAGTACAATGTACAACGCTAAAACAAGAGTGTTCCATGTATTTAACCCTCAAGTAAAACCTAACAATTAACTAAATGACCATGAAATAAAATTATGCTACCATTCTTCAGTAATATAAACAATGTGAATAATAATACGGGGATTTATTAATGAATTACCGGTAGCTTTTAATTCATTAACAATTTATTAAAAGAGTACATTTATTTAAAAAAAAAATGAAAATACCGGGAATTGTGATTTATTTCTTTTCTGTTTTGCTAGCGTTAAACTGGCCGATTTATGTGTATAAAATGGTATCAACACAATGGTTTCAATCGCCTTTGGGCAGAAAACCAGTGCATGTTATTTGGGTATTTGTATCAGCTTACACATCACTGAACATGCTGGTAAACAATGACCCTAATTTCAATTTATGTAATGCCAAAAAAAATGTGTTAAATGAAATGTGTATAAATTTCTTTCAGGACTGATTAATTTTGAACATAATCTGAGAGTTCAATTCTGGTGATTTACAGATGTACAGTCTAACATTTACAAATAGAACACTTAAAACTGAGTATTATAGGGCTAGAGAAATTAACGATAATTAAATTAAAATGTCATTAAAAATACTCATGACTGAAAAATAATACTTGCCAAAATTAACAAAGGTTTTTTTTTTAAAAAGCCCAATACTTAAGAAAATTCCTTTAGAGTATGCTGATAGTATGGAAATTGGCCATATTATGATATATTTAAAACTTATTCTGGTTGAAAATAATCAATTCAAGTTTAATTTTCTGTATAAAAAAATAATATGAGAACCAGTATCAATCACAGAAAATTAAGAAATTGAACATAACTGTGATTAAATATTCATGTTCAGTATATTCATACATGTAGGTGTGAAAGCCTTCTTCCTTAAATAAATATTATAATTTCAGTTTGTTTCTATGCGCGTACTGTTCATAAATGACATACACATACATGTAAGGATTCCTGGCATACTACCCAGAATCAATTTCTACTGCCTTTTATAGTCCGATTGTTTATTGGAAATCTCATTTCTGAGTTAGCACCGCCCATTAAATTAATAAACCCCGCCCACTGGGACTGCTGGGACTGCTCTCTGGGACCGCTGGGACTGCTGGGACCGCTGCGGGACTGCTTTAGCAGTCCCAGAAAGCAGTCCCCGGGACTGCTCTGGGACTGCTTTGTGTCAGGTTGGGTCTGGTCGGTAGTGTACCACCTAGGATTGTTTTATTAGTAGCACCATGTTCATGAACATCAGATATTAACCAGAGTGGGGTTCAACGACACCAGCAAACGTTTACCTGATTATTGTTTCTCTTGTGATTAATTGTGGACCTAAAGATCCCGTTCGCTCTGTAAATGTCAAATCTCCAATCCTTGAAGATGTTGTTTCTCTCATAGTTTTACTACTCTGAAAAATTTTAAGCAATTTTAACATAAAAATGACACGTTTCTAGCTATCTAAATATCAAGAACACTTAACCCCAAATTTGATGTTTTTTTTTTTTTTTTTTTTTTTTTGAGTATTTAAGATAACGTTAACCTATTTGCTTAAATCCAGCAAAAGTTTAAGATTTTAAGATAATTTTCTTGCTTATTTTCAATGCCAGAAAAATCACTATTTCTGACTGTAGAAAGGTCAAATTATTCATTATGCGAACAATTTGAAACTTTTTCTTAGTCACAATTTTAAAGTGTCTTCTTTTTTAAATAGATTTATAGTATGTTTTCTTCCATGCTTTATTTGTATAAAAATAATGAAGGGAAAACATCAAAGATGTAATTTTTGATTAAAACAAATTTCAGTACAAAAAGGTAATATTAAATGTACTGAAGCGACAAAAGAAGAATATTGACCCCAATTTCTCTTTTTTATTTTTTATTAAGCTTTGCTTGTAGAAACTAAAAGTACACTTGAAAAAAGTTAAGACTTTAGACATCAGGAGCCAACATCGTTAGATAGGTATTATATCGTATTGAATCTTACATTTTATGACTGCCATCAATAAAAATCTGTCTTTTAATAGCTTTTACTGAAATTCCAGTGGAGAAATTTTGAGTAAAAATGAATTCTTTTGTTTAATTTTGATATGATATATCGAGAATATTACTTACTAAAATCCATATCATATGTCATAATATGTTGACGGTGCGGTCGTTATGGCGAGCGCAAATATTTCTTGTCTTATAATTTAGATCGGGCTCGTACAACCGCATGTGCGATTTCATACGTCTAGACTCTGACGTCACATGACGTTGTATGTAAGTTACATTGCAAAAAAGATACCTGAACAGTATTGAAAGTAAATGAAGAACGATTCGTTTGCTATTTATCTTCAATATTTATCGATTAAATCAGGGCGTGTTAACTTTTAGCTGAACTTTTGCTGCTATTCACCCTAGAACGTACCTATAACAAGTGGGTCCAAAGTTGCTGGAGAACACAAATCTGAGAAATGAATGTGCAGTAGTCCGAATTGTCTCTTCGCCCAGTCGTTACATTAAGAGCTCGCCGTTCCGAGGGTCGCGAAGCTGCACTCGCTATCAGCCCAAGTGGTGGTCCCATATCAGCCCGATCGAGGGCCTTCTGTCCTCGGGCTGATGTGACGTTTGAGGGCTGATATGGCATATGATATTGATTTTATCATGTTGTATTCTATTTATCATATATTTAAAATACCTTATTAACGAGAAATATGCCTTTTTCTGGAAAATCTAATAGAGTCAAGTTTAGGTAAATGAAAATTGACTTCATATGTCATTCCAGAATTATTTTACATGAATACTTTTTTTGAAACAAATCAAATAAATTAACTTTTAAACTTTATACAAACTTTACTTCCGGTTTGATATGGACTTTTGCTCGCCGGTCCAATATGTGGTATGAATTTTCGGAACGGTCCTTGATATGGGGTATTTTGACTTCATTTTTATCACAGGATGCAGAATCGGTGTATTTACTTGCAAGTATATGATAAACAAAATACACTAACGCCCGATTGAATTGTGTATTGCATGAAAAGATATATTAAGGAAGTGGAGAAAGGAAGGATGAAATAACACGAAAACATTCTATAAATAGAAAAGTAATGAACGATATATTATTCTCAAATCAGTAATGGGGTTAAAAAAGATAAACAAAAGGGGAAGAAGAAAGGCAGCGTATTAAAATATAAGATTTTAAACAATGTCTTTAAAAATTGCATGCTCAAAATAGAAAAAGAAACTTTCAATTTTTTCTTACCGGTATGTTAATTTTTTGGCGAAAAACGAAAATCAGTATGATTAAAAAAATTAACAGAAAAACACTTCCTCACACAGACAAAAGAAGTAAGACTGCAGTTAAAGATTTACAAATGAAATGTTTTTATGGCATTATTCGTGATATTACATGTACAATAAACTTTCAAGAATTTTTTTTAGTTTTTTTATATTTATAATTTATATATTAAAAAAAAACAAAATTATACATCTCGGATATATATCTTTACTGTCTCGTGGTTAGGAGATAGATAGTGAACCATTTAGCATCCACATAGACTACTTCAATTCCAATGTTGTAGGTATGTACTGCTATAGCTCATGACATGTCGAGTGTCTGATATGTTGTACCCTGTTTGCAACAAAGAATCTGCTGGATTCATCGTGCAGGTAGCCTGACACAATCTTGCTGTCCGTGCAGAACTTTACATCTTTGATGTTGATATCCATCCGATGAACCTTCGTCTTGAATTCAGAGAGCTTGGGCGAAGAATATACAGATTGTTGTCTCATGCATATGAAACTTGATTTGGACAAAGGGGTAGAACGGTGGGTCTTCCGTAGATGTATGATAAGTCTTGCAGACACCTATGCTATCTGGTTTGTGGTTTCAACCCAAACACATCTTTTCCATGACTAACCATTCCAGTTTCAGCCTCTTTGCGAATGGAGAGTTACGGGTCCAACCACCTGTTTCAGTACTCGACGTGCCTGGATTACATCTCATATCAGAAGGAAAATTTCTGTATTTTCATCTATAGGTTCCAGTTTGTTCGCCATATCACGTAAATGAGAAAAGTGGC